GCCGCGCGCGCAGACCCTGATGCTAAAGACAAAGTTGCTGCCAACGGACTTGTTTCTGCTTTGTAGAAGACTAAGTCCTTTTCATTGTAAATATAGAGTAGTTTTGCTGCATTTTCTTTAAGTGTGATTTTCCAGCTTTCATAGGTCTAGTCATGTAACTTTGGTTTATTTTTTTTAATCATTATTAAGGGGGACCAAGCAACCAAACTTTCAAGCAAGCAAACAATTCTCTGTACTGGTGTCTCTCCCCCCGACACCGTGTTGTTTTTCTGTAATAGCTTTCATTCAATGCAATCAAGCTGTCTTTCATTCTCAATTCTCTTTTCTGCTCTCTCTTTCAATTAATCATGACATTGGTTTTCCCGTACGACACTGACAATCTAGTCTAGCGTACGGAGGGGACCTCAGTTGGCGGACAGCAATCGCACTGACATCGGTTGCTTAGCCTCACGTCGCCCTTCCAAGGAACTTCAGGAAGGCGCCGCGTAACATATATTATGCTTCTTTCTCATATTGTGGGTTCATAAAGCTCTATGTTGTACTTTTACCAGAATTCTGAAAGGTGAAAAAGGGAACTCTTTAATTTAATCCCTAGGTATTCGGGATAAAGTTAACCTGATTAATGCCTGAATTTTTCTAAAGTTCTATTGATTTATGTAAATTGATATGGTGATTCTGCCTCTTTTATTAGCTCTGATGCTCATAGTCTTGGTACATTTGACTTGGTAAATTGATACTAATATTTTTGCCTTTGCAGGCAATGTCGAAAACTTTGACAGCAGATGAACTGTTCTACCTGAAGGAGCAATTTGCATTGCTGGAGCCAGACAAAAATGGCAGCATAAAACTAGAAAATATAAGATCAGTTAGTATCTCAACTCTCTCATCTTCAGCTCTTCCGCGTTTTTTGCTAAAGCCTGAAGGTCTTATCTCCTTACTCTTTTTGTGCCATGTAGGCGCTGATGAAATATGGAACAGATGCTATGAAGGAGTCGCGCATTCCGGATTTTCTTGCCTCGGTACTGACACAACTGTCACTTTGTGTGTTTCCCTGCTTCTTCTGTGCTTGTAGCTTGTGAATAACTGTTTTTTATGTCATCTTTGACAGCTAAATGCACTTCAATATAGAAAGATGGATTTTGAAGAATTCTGCGCAGCTGCCTCAAGTGTTCATCAGTTGGAGGCACTTGAGCGCTGGGAACAACATGCTAGGTGTGCATATGAAGTTTTTGAGAAGGATGGCAATAGGGCTATTATGATAGAAGAACTTGCATCTGTAAGTTTCCTTACAAATGCCATGTTCTGCTCTCGCGATTGCATTGTATATGACTTTTTGAGTGTACTGAGTACTTACTGTATGTTTCATGACATGTTTACTGCCTGAAATTGTGATAAAATCTCGCTTTCAGGAACTTGGACTGGGTCCTTCAGTACCAGTTCATGCCGTTCTACATGACTGGATAAGGCATACAGATGGAAAGCTAAGTTTTCTTGGATTTGTGAAATTGTTGCATGGTCCCTCCACTCGAGGACTTGCAAAGGCACAGTAATATGTGAAACATGCTTTGGAGAATATTGGATGTACCGTGTCTAGACAGTGTGGCTGAGACAAACCTTCAAGCGCTTCAACATTTCAGTTATCTGCCACCTTGCACTGAAGCGTCAAAGAGGCCTGTCCTGAATTGGACTGTCTGGAGTATTTTTGATTCACGGGTTCCACTTTTATAGCACGTATTGATAGCTTTTGTTTCCACACCATATAGTGTAAAGATTTCTGATGGTTGCGGGTGAGCAACATTGTTGATTGGATTTGCAGCTGTTTGTTACTAAGGGGAATGATCCTAGTTGCAACTCCTGCCAACTGGGATTAACAAGATGTAGTTAGTTATGCCACTTAAATTGGGAATGTGGCACTCAATATAGAAAACATAGGGCCTTAGTTGATTCAGTGCTGGAATTGGATGATTTAGTTGATGTATTCCCTATTTGTTGTTCAATTTGAGTCCAGGCTAAAAGTTGCCTGGCTGTTGAATTGTATCCTCTTTCCTATAAGATAACGTGCTTCTGTTTCTGGTGCCTAATTATCTCAACTCCATAACCTAAGGCTGTAAATTTTCTCACCATCTGAACTGAAAAATGTAACAGACCTATCTATTTTAGCATCCAACTAAATATTATTACTAAAAGGTTTCTTTTACTACTAATAATGGACTTTGATGAGCATGAGTTCCTGCTATGATTTGAAGTACTGAAAGGTTTGAAGTGGTTGAAAGAAAAGGTTAAATTGGAAACAAAATAACTAAAATAAAGCTGCCTCAAAAAATACATTCCAAAATCAGTGGGAAGCTAATGCACATGGATTTGGCCAGTTAATTTCTGGCTTGAACGTGATAAAGTATTCCCACCACCTATGTTCTTCATACTGTATTTGAAAGTACATATCTATTCCTATTTACTTTAAGGATCAAAGTTTTGAGAATGCTCTGCTTATAACATCAAACGTGATAAAACAAAGGAGACAAACTCATCAACTTTAACAAAGCACATGTTGGTAATTAAAGAGTATTGTGATGATTGATTCTAGGCGTATACAAATGAAACCGACAAATCGCATCAACCCGATAATTCGAGTCAAACCGAGAAAAAAAACCCGACTATGTTTTGGTTTGATGGTTTGGTGTTGGAAAAAAAAAACCCGACCATATTTGGTTTGGTTTGATTTTAACTAAAAAAAGTCAAACTGAAACCAAACCAACCCGATATTATATGCATATAAGTTTTAAATATATTTAATACATAAAAAAATTTATGGTAGTGTAGTTTATAAATATTTCTTAAGCTTTTTCATAATTTTAACTTTTAACGTATTATTTAAAGGAAAAATGACAATGTATAGCCGCTGTAAAAATAATAGCCGAAAAAATATATAAAATTTATATATTTTTTGTATATATATATAAATTTTGTATGTTATATACAAAAATTATACAAGTTTTATATACTTTTTCGGCTACTAAATGTAAATAATTTCTGGCGCGGGCTAAAAATGATAATACCCCTTATTTCAAGCTTGAGCTTATAATTTTTGGATGCTCCAATAAGTTTTATAATCCGTAAATGTTAGTAACTCAAATAAATCCTAAACCAAAATCAAATCAATACTAATGCTAATAAAATACATTCAATTCAATTGTACTGTGGATGAAAATAGTGTTGGATATATATTTTTTAGTTTTTCCATGGTTTAGATAAAATGTATAACATATTTTTCTTTTAGTGGTTAGTCATGTAAATAATAGTACTTATTAGTCATAATTTTAAATTATGTTTATTTTCATTATGGTTTATTAATAATATTTATTTTATGCGATTTTATTATCTTTATTGTTGAATATATTTTAGTACAATGCCATGACTCATCTCATATTTAAGTTATTTTATTGAAAAACACCTTATATAGTTCTGTCTTACTATGATTAAAGAAATATTTGGAGCACAAATTTTACGTTTTGTGCTATGAAGACTTTATGAAAAAAAATCGAAAAACCCCGAAAACCCGAAAAACCGAGATTAAAAAACCCGACTTTTATTGGTTTGGTTTGGTATTTAGATTTAATAACCCGATATAATTGATTTGGTTTGGTAATTAAAAAATCTGAACTAACCTGACATATGTACACCCTTAATTGCTTCTACTTAATATATAAGTAGTAATACAATATAGGGTAGCTTCTATAAGTATTATTGGTTCTCTAAAACCCCAAATGATATTTCAGTCATTCAGAAGTAAATGCGTTGTCTGTTGAGATTCCAGTATGATGTGCTGAAATTTCATAATGTGTTGTAGTTCCATAATTTTTGGCGTGGGCTAAAAATGATAATACCCCTTATTTCAAGTTTGGACTTATAATTTTTGGATACTCCAATAAGTTTTATAATGCGTAAATGTTAGTAACTCAAATAAATCCTAAACCAAAATCAAATCAATACTAATGCTAATAAAATACATTCAATTCAATTGTACTGTGGATGAAAATAGTTTTGGATATCTATTTTTTAGTTTTTCCATTATTTAGATAAAATGTATAACTTATTTTTCTTTTAGTGGTTAGTCATATAAATAATAGTATTTATTAGTCATAATTTTAAATTATGTTTATTTTCATTATGGTTTATTAATAATATTTATTTTATGTGATTTTATTATCTTTATTGTTGAATATATTTTAGTACAATGCCATGACTCATCTCATATTTAAGTTATTTTATTGAAAAATACCTTATATAGTTCTGTCTTACTAGGATTAAAGAAATATTTGGAGCACAAATTTTACGTTTTGTGCTATGAAGACTTTATGAAAAAAAAACCCGAAAACCCGAAAAATTCGAGAAAAAACGATATTAAAAAATCCGACTTTTATTGGTTTGGTTTGGTATTTAGATTTAATAACCCGATATAATTGGTTTGGTTTGATAATTAAAAAAATCCGAACCAACACGACACATGTACACCCTTAGTTGCTTCTACTTAATATATAAGTAGTAATACTATATGAGGTAGCTTCTATTAGTATTATTGGTTCTCTAAAACCCCAAATGATATTTCAGTCATTCAAAAGTAAATGCATTGTCTGTTGAGATTCCAGCATAATGTGCTAAAATTTCATAATGTGTTGTAGTTCCATCATAGTATGCTAAAAGTTTATACGCATGAGCTCCATAATCAACATATTATGCTTGAACTTTCCGTATTTCCGTATTGTAGTTTCAATGGCTTCGCAAACACAGACTATTTTTCAATTACCAATCCGAAAACTGAGTAACCCGTGCTATTTTCACCGGACCAGAAATAAAATGCATTGTCTGTTGAAGTCTTATGTTCCATACTAGATAAAGATTGCGCGTGCTATCGCACGGGCCCAACATATTAAGCATTTTGCTTGTTTTTTTTCTAAGTTCCCTGTTGCCAATGGAATAGTGCTCCATCTATAGATAAGAAATTGGACTATCATAACCAATAGGCTTTTCGATACATCATACAAGATGGTAGGATGGTAAAAAGAGGACATTAAAAGAATCTATAATCAATTAGAAGTAGCAATTACAACCATGTATTATTAATTATAATACCCATAAAATATAAAAAAATGTGTATCTTCAAGCAAAGCAACCCGTCGAGCAGACAAAAACTTTTGTATGGTTCTTTTTATTAGTGGGAACTCGGGGACAAAAAACACATTTAAGAATTTATCTCCTCTGATTTAGAACCGCGGTGGAAGACACAACTGCACAACTTACCATGAAAAACTCTGGGGAGGAAGGATAGAGGCATCATATTGAGAAGTTCCCTTGTCAAAGTTCTAAATGAGAAGTAAAGGACTTATTTTTGGGAGAAGAAAGTGGATTCATTTTTCCTGCAAATTTTCATGTAATCCCTTTTGTCAAGTAAAGTGTATGACATCTGTAAAACTACCATCTCTCACACCTTGAGAAACTTTCAAGAAAAGAAAAGAGATTACAGCTTAGCGGCAGTTTATCAAAATTACATACTCCATCTATCTCAGCAAAAGCACTCAATGCATAGGTGCCATTGCCAGGTTTGATGATAGGAAATGGGAAATGAAATGGAGAGGAATGAATAGGATTTCAACCAAATATTAGATTATTGGAATAGCAGCTATGTGTTGGAAGTTGTTTATTCATTACAAGGAAATAGATGCTACAACACTCAAGTGTTTAGCAAGTTTCTGCTGTGCCTTATAGATAAATTTACATCTTAAGGTATCATCTCTAGAGTAAATTTTCTTTATGATCCTTAACTTAGCTTTGAGCCCTTGACTGCCTGCACAGTTGCTAGATGGGGTTTAGGAGCTCCACCAGCACAAGCTTAAGTTTGTACCTCACCAAATTGTATCACTGTTGATACCTTCTTTATTCACCGACAACCAAAAGAAAGAAAATTCTGACATCAGTACCGTAAGCCAATAGAGGATTCTGATTAATGAATCTTGTAAATCTATCATCGAATAATGAACTAATATAGAGCACGTGCAGAACTTCAAATGTACTTGTTAGCACATACTAAAACAATTTCATGCATGCTTGACATTGCCACATGAAAATTTAAGGAGAAGGAATATCAAAAGAATATAAAAAATATAATTGTCAGAATTAAAACTACACATGGTAATTAAATGGTCATGGGTTCAGAAAGCGGGTTATTACAAGTGCTGAAAGTAACACAACGCAAAGTGTGAAAATAATTCAGTTTGCAGAATGGTATCACTGTTGAAATAATGTCCATAGAAAGAAAAAGAAAAACAGAAAGCTACCCAGTCAGTTAACTTAGCAAGTTCCCTCATTCCTTCGGTATGGTATTATCTCAAAAAGCATAGAGGCCAAATGTCTTTTTTGTCTCAGTTTCTGATAATTATGAATAACATATCACAACGCAGAAGAATTGTGAAACTTACATAGAGATGGGAGTCAAGGTTGAAAAGAAAGAAATTGCAGAGAAATTGTGTCTTATTCCACGACCTGTAAAAATTGAAGTTATACTACCAGAAAGCATGGCAATAGATGTTAAACCAAGTAGGAAAAGAGCAAGCAGCAATAAACAGAAACATAACTTGCTTTACTAAGGACACTAATCTCGAATACTTGAATTAATTATACGTGTAAACGATAATATTACACAATTGGGGTATGAAAAATGGTATCATTTGAAAGATCATCTAATCACTAGCTAGATTTTAATAACTCAAGCCTTTTTATGCAGTATATGTGTGCACCTAATTTTTGCCTTAATGCAAATCACTCCTAAAAATATTTCAAAATAGTTTAGAGTGGTTCATGCATATTTAGAGTTGTTTTTACAACCATTGAAAATCATAAAAATAATAATAATAAATATTAAAATTTTCTATTTCATAGCATTTTAGGTTTTTATTTGCATTTTTAGAAATTGATTTAGGTTTTAATTAGTTTAATTAGGATTTAAAATCAAAGAAAAGAAAAGGAATGGAAAAAGGAAGATTTTGTTTAAGTGTGATCTCAAATTGGGCCACAACAGCCCCAATTGGCC